CACACACACACACACACACAGTGACACAACATTGAAACGTTGACTGTTCCTCAGCAGTGATCTACACTGACTTGTGACTGGTTCACATCATGTTGAAGTTGTGTAACCGTGTGTGAAGCATGACGCTCGGCTGTAGCACATGTTCCTGGCGTGCTCTAAACCACACCAACATGTGCACTCATCAATGTTGCATTCACTGACATGTTCTGCTGCAGGAAAATGAAACATGGAGGATGTGACGTTAGACAGCTGCTGTGGTTGAAACTGGAGCCGTCAGAGTTTGTGCCGTACGGCGAGGGGCAGTGCACGAGAGTGCACGTGAACTTAAACACATCCAATCAACTTCTTGAGTGTGTGTGTGTGTGTGTGTGTGTGTGTGTGTCTTCATCGTTTTATTTTTATTAAAAAGTCACCTCTTCCTTTGTCTCTCTCTCTCTGGGCGTCTCTCGTCCTCCTCTGTGCTGTAATACCCCAGGGAGCTCCAGCAGAGGCCTCCACCTCCCCACTGCTGCTCCTCCGAGACTCATCACCTCCTCTTCATCATCTTCCTCCTCTTCCTCCTCTATCAGCTGATCAGACTCATGTTTGTGTTTCCTTCCTTCCACTTTGTTTCCTTGTTTCTTTTCTTTCTTTCTCCCCTTTTCTCATTTTCTTTCTCTTTTTCAAATTTTCATTGCATCCTTTCTTTTCATTTTTTTCTTCTCTATTATTTGTTTTTCCTCATTAACTTTCTTTTCCCTTTATTTTTTATCTGTCTCGCTTTCTTCCTTCTTTTCCTGTTCTTTCCTTCCCTTTGTTTTTCCTCTTCATGTTTCTTTTTTCATTTTCATCATTGTCATTCTTTAAATGTGTGTGTGTGTGTGTGTGTGTGTGTGTTGATCTATTCATGTCTTGTTATTGTTATTAGCAGCCGTCGCTGTGGCAACCCGCTGAACTGCCAGTGCTCAGATTGGACACTTCCTGTCCCATGGGCTGATGGGAAAACAGCCCGGGGCAGGAGAGAGAGAGGGGGAGAGAGAGAGGGGGAGAGAGAGACACTGACCTGACTTGTTTCAGTTTTTCTGTCGAGCGTCTTAATGAGCGTCTCTTCTATCGGCAGCTCTGATTGGTCGGTGTCACATACTGAGAATCTTTGAAAATGAATTTATCAGAGATTCTGATTCATTGTCTTTATATCGATGAACTGATGATGGAGTGTGTGTGTGTGTGTGTGTGTGTGTGTGTGTGTGTGTGTGTGTTGCAGGAGGTGCTGTTGAAGCGAGCAGCTGACCTGGTGGAGGCTCTGTACGGGATGCCACACAACAACCAGGTGAGTCATCACCGTCCACACTGAAGACGAAGACACTGACCTGAAGTTTGAACCACAGACTGAATGATCTCATCACTTTCTTTTCACCTCCCCTCTGCCTCCCCCTCCCTCCCCCCTGCAGGAGATCATCCTGAAGCGAGCGGCCGACCTCACGGAGGCGCTCTACAGCGTCCCCCGCAGTCACAACCAGCTGCCCTCTCTCACCGGCTCGTCCGCTCACTCAGGGATGATGGGCGTGAACTCGTTCAGCAGTCAGCTCGCCGTCAACATCTCCGAGGCCTCTCAGGCCGACCAGGGTGAGGGTTCAACGCCACCGCCGTCTGAGAACACCTCGTCCAACAGAGTCCAGTTTATTAGAGTCCAGTTTATTAGAGACTAGTTTATTAGAGACTAGTAGAGTCCAGTTTATTAGAGTCCAGTTTATTAGAGACCAGTAGAGTCCAGTGCAGTTTCCTGTCATGTGATCAGGTTCCTGGTTTCTTTAGACTTTGGTTGGAACCATTTTCAGCAGTGAATTAGTCCACATCTGGAGCTGCACTGTGTGTGTGTGTGGGGGGGGGGTGGACAAGCGCTGTACGAGTGTGTGTGTGTCTGTGTGTTTGTGTGTGTGAATGTGACCTGTGGTGTCACAT